TTCAGCACCCAGTGCACCCCAATGCTGACCTTGTGGTTCTGAGCGGGACCACAGCTTCTTGAGTCAGAATGCACAAAGCAGACTCATGCTTCTCTACAAAATACTGTGTACACAATACACCGCTGACTTCCAGCTATTATTCCTGTAGTTTCTACAATATGCAAACTGCAACAGAATCAGCACTAGGAAATTTCTGCGACTTGCCTCCTAAAGTAAGCCTAGTATAAATTAAGGTATGATTCAAGGACTCCAGGCTTGCTGAGGAACGCTTGTTGAAAGAAAGAAAATTCATCATAAAATCTTTTCTTTGTAATGGATTGCCACATTGCAGATGTAGTTTCCTTTTACCAGAACAGCCTCCATTTTAAACTAGTTACCTTTAGGTGGAAAATATGACTTGCTTTCTGCTTTGTGAGGCCAGTCCACCACAAGAGGTCCAAACCTACGAAAGCTGGCAGTGATCTCATCTACAAAAAACAAATGAGGCACCTTAGAGAGACTCTGAAGACTGACAGTGGCAAGGTAAAAATTCTTAATTAAAAAAAAAAAAAAAAGACTATTTTCTACACCTATTAAGAACAGTGAGAACTGCAATAATATACATAGAAGATGCCTAAATATTCTTTCATGTCTCTGCTATAGGTGGCTGCTTAAAAAAGTAATTTTACATTCCACAATGCAAGTTTGCAGCAGGATTAAATGCAAACATGATTTATCACAAGGAAATATGCTTCAGCTACAGTCTATTTCTAATTATAGCCACAAAGCAGGGTCAGATGCAGCCACATGGGACTGATGGAGGATCTACATGTCAGCATGGCCACTCCTTGTAGCATGCCCTAGAAAGAAAGTTGCATCAGGTCATGCAAGTCTGGGGATTTCACCTTCCTCCATCCCCTCTGGAAGTCTGCCTTGAATTAGCAAGTCATCTCTTTGCTTTTTAAGCTTCAATTTAGAAACACCATGGAACACACATCTCATACTATACTACAGGATAATTTTGTTTTACATGCAAATACTTCAGAAAGATGTATTTTAATTTATTTTTAATGTTCATTTTCTTAATGCATTTATTTATGTCCTTTAAAGAAAGAATTAGTTTGAAATTGTGTCTAATGTGGTGCTAGATAGATCAGAGTAACAATCCATCAGGAGAAAAGTTTGAAGACAAAGGCAGTGGTTTTCCAATTTTCTGATTGCTGTTTGAGATGTGTCCAGTTTATCTGACACCATGAGCTGCATGTCAGATTTTCAAGTGACTAGAGCCACAAAACACGTATTGCATAACTGAGGAGCTGAAGGAAAAAGGTGTTACTGGAGTAGACTGAAACCAGGACAGATATGGAAAAGCATAACAGCTCCCAAGTGGCCGTGTTACTTCCTCACATGATAGGCTGGGCATATATTTTGATACTGAGTAACCCAGCAACATTCACATCAGTTGTACCTGTTGGCCTGCTTTTTCTTACAGCTGAGGCTTCAGATTACCCAGCAGTCCCTGTATCAACAGTCCTGCAACTCATGATGTGACATGGGAATTGTATTTGAGCTGTTTGTAAACCATAAATTGGCAACTCATATTATCTCTTTATTAAAATTGCATGTGGTTTAGGCTTCAGTTCAGTAGATCGTATTCAGAGATCCCTGTCTTTCCATTGTAAGGCACCCACAAATTCCCTGTGTATGCTAATTGAAGCTAGATAGTGGTGGATTCCAGCTATAATATGGAAAATCCACCAAAAACTGTCATGACTGTGGTTTGGGAGTTGGGGCGTGTCGGGGCACATGCAAGTAGGGCAGATATTGATTGAGAAAAAACCGGACCATCCCTACTAAGCTGGTTATTATTTTGTAACCCTATTAATTGCCATACATTTGTCAACTGAACACTGCATATATGCTAGCTATAAGAGCTAATTAATTAAACCCCAATTTATTTTGGTAAGGACTGCATTAATAAAGTCTTTAAAGTCAACCACATCTTTTAAAAAGAACAGGGAAAGACTATGTCAGAGAGACAGTACCACTAAATTCCCTTTTCCAGCTTTCCCACTTTACATACACGGGAACACATGCTGCTATTGTAGATTAGAAGACCTGCGCAGAGCCACAAAGATGATTAAGGGAATGGAGCATCTCCCTTATGAGGAAAGGCTGAGGGAGCTGGGTCTCTTCAGCCTGGAAAAGAGGAGACTGAGGGGTGACCTAATTAATGTTTATAAATACGTGAAGGGTGAGTGTCAGGAGGATGGAGCCAGGCTCTTCTCTGTGACATCTAGTGATAGGACAAGGGGCAATGGGTTCAAGCTGGAACATAGGAGGTTCCGCTTGAGTATGAGGAAAAACTTCTTTACAGTGAGGGTGACAGAGCACTGGAACAGGCTGCCCAGAGAGGTTGTGGAGTCTCCTTCTCTGGAGACATTCAAAGCCCGCCTGGATGCGTTCTTGTGTGATCTGATCTAGGTGTCCTGCTCCGGCAGGGGGATTGGACTAGATGATCTTTCGAGGTCCCTTCCAATCTCTAACATTCTGTGATTCTGTGATTCTGTGTTTCTGTCTCCATCTCTTCTGATCTACAGTACCAAACAACATCAAGTAAATTCTCAGGTGTTGCATGGGGTGGTGATGTTTGTTTGTTTTAAATAATGCTACAAGCACTACAAGCAACATACCTGGGAAAATGCATTTGTTTTTATGAAAATCTGACCTTTTTAAAGTAATTATATGAAAGCAAATTCCCACATCTCACCAATGTAACTTATTCACAGTACCTTCATCAATGTCAGGAGGAAGACCTCCAACAAACACCTTTCTAGAATAGCGTTCCACTCTTTCACCATTCTGACAGCGTGTTGGAGAGCTGAGACCCGATGATAAAGACTGATCACCATGACTGTCGTCTAGGAAGCCATAAAGAGTGAAGACCGACCTGTAACAGATTTTGTAGTATCTATAGTTAACGCTGTTTCCTGGAGAAACAAATATTTAAATTAAAAATATTTTATTTTCCTCTTACTGTTTTGCTTTAACAGAATTTGCATTATAGGTACCAGCTAAGCGGTCCAGTTATCCAAATGTTGTTTACTAGTACTGCTTCTATTTTTCAAAGACTATATTATCCTTACAAGACAATAAACCTAATTTGACTTTAAAACAAAGCCTTGCAAATGGCTAGCAATGAAAAACAACAAGTTATCTAATGAAATTTTGTGTCACAGCTATAAAAAGAACCTTTGTTGAGATTCTTAGAGATTTAAATCTTCCATAACAGATCTTGAAGCAATGATCTCAAGGAGCAAATCACTCAAGCCATTGCACTGCAGAGCAGGACAGATTCTCTTTCAGATTGCTTTACAGGGTCCTAACCATAAAGGCTGCATCACTTCCTCCTCGAGTGAACAGAGGCCCAGTCTGAGTAGGGGGGGTAAACAGCAAAATAAACATAGAAAAGCTTTGTATTGTGGATAGTAAAACATGTAAGTGAAGCAAGAAGCTCAGATAACAAGAAAAAAAATGTTAAAATCTTATTAAATAAACCACAAAAAACTTGTACTTGAAAATAGTTGTTAGCTAGGACATCCTGTCAAGCTGTTACTCAGTGTTAAAACACCCTTTCAATAATGAATTAACAAAAAAGCAACATAAATGGCTGCTATTCAGTTTGTTAATGAAAAGGAAGAATTTATCTGTGATCATCTGATGCAATTAACTTGTTGCTATTACTGCGAAAGTATATACACATTATGTTAAGAACAGATTTATTAACCCAGAGGATAATGTAAAGCAATATTAAAAGTCTGTATGTAAGCAGCACCGTAGAACATGCCAACTTTAGAATTTAATAATTCCTTATACCCAAGTTGAAAAATAAATTCTGTAGTGTAGATAGATATATAAATGGGAACCCCATCTCCACTCTGAAAAGACTAATTATCCCCTCATATCATGGAGGATTGCTTCCAGGGATGGAATTATAATTAATTGATACAAACAGTTTATAGGGAGGTTAATTACAAACATAAATAGCAGGGCACATAATTAAATTCAAAGGTAATGGATCACATGAAACTGACTTCCAGTAAGACCTCAGGAAGAATTAATACCGTACTGGTATTAACAACACAGGGAAGTACAGGAAATAAAAACAGGAGCAAGGAGAAAAATCAAGACATGGAGGGGGTCACTAGTCGAGACAAGGTATATACTGAAAATATCAGTAATAGAGTCTCCAGTAGTAAAAAACAGATTACAAAAAGAAGCAGCAATCCTCTGTATGGAAAACAAGCTAACAAACAAAAACCAGGAAAGATATTCTGACTGACACAGAACACCAGCCTGATTTTTTTTATGAAAGAATACATTGAATGCACAATGTTGACAGAGATCACAGATGCAAAAACCCACCAAAGCAAAAATCCTACTGTGCTTTAAAGCACCAACATAAAAAACAGGGTAAATGCCACAATCAGAGAAGGATTTAGAAATGCTGCTCTTCAAAGTCTAATATAACTGGCTGTCAGAAGTGGTGGGTCTAGAGCATAAGCCAGGAAGGACTATTGATGAACATTCCATTAATGGACAAACAGGTCATGCACATATATAAACATACGCATTTTGGCATAAAAGAGAGCATATGCATGAGAGAAATGGGAAGGCTAAAATTGTGTGGAAATATCAAATCAGAAAACCCATTAAAAGTCACTGAAAAGTAGGAAATTTGAAAATATCCATAAGAGTATTACATTACTAAGAAGCTAAATAATCTTAATTCCCTCCCTCCCCCAAGCTATCTTCTTGTAAGACAAAAAAAAAAAACAAAAAAACAAACAAACAAACAAACAAACAAAAAAACAAAAAAACCAAAACAACCCCACACTCCGAAAAACTCAAACAAACATGAGCCATTCGTGGAAGTTGACATATCAAATTAATAGATACTAGAACAAGGTGTTGAACTAAAATACAGGTCTGCTGAGGAGGCTGAATAAGTGCTGAGTTCTGCAGGAAATAATAAAAATGCATAGCAGCTTAAAAACGAAGACATCACCTCTTATGCCAGATGTTTGAAAGTCTGCAAGCATTGTACTAATCTTAAGTAAATGCAAAAGATGATCTAAAACTTTATAGTTAAATCAAATACAGAGTTAAATGTATGAAGTATAAATTTACAATAACGGAAAGCATACAGACAAAGGAATGAGGAATGATTGTTCACTGTCTCTTCCAGTAAGGGGAAACTAAGTGCATTGAACACAATCAGTACATGGCAAGGCTGAAAGCGAGTCAAATTGTGGAACCCCTTGCCACAGGCTTTTTAGGATGCTGAAAAGTTTATGTGGGTTTAGAAAAGGCAATGAGCAAGAACAGGAGAAAAATCCATTCTGAAGTAATAAATATTGAGACATCACCTCAAGAAACTCAGAGAGGCAAATCTTTGGGAGAGGATTATGAGAAAGCATCGCTAAATGCCTTATTTTTATACTCCTGCACCCCTCCCTGGCATCTCTGAGTTGTCAGTGTAGCAGAACAGATTTTGGGCTGATTTTCCATAGCTGTGCTTTTATCAGTACCTGAAAAACTGGTTATAAAAGTTAAAAACAAGGTACCTAAAAGAACATGACTCAGAAGCTCTCAGCATGATACCTACAAAGAAATACTTCCCTCTTTACTCAAGAAAACAAAGGATCAAGTAGAGAACTGATAGGTTATGGCAAGCCCCAAGAAATTTCTGACCAGACCTCTTCTCACTGAAGATCTTAGTCACCATGACAGAAGCAAACACTAATTAAAATATCCAAGTATAATAAACATGAAATGAGTCCCTGCACAGATTCACCTCTGGGTACTCTGCATACTACCATAATGCAAATGGTAAAAACAATAAAAGGACAGATGAGAACATTTGATAAACAACACATCATTTTTTACAGTCTATTGTAGAATTACATGTTTCTTAATGTTAAGAAAGCTAAAAACAACATTATAAAATTCAAGGTAATGAAAAAGCATGAATACCAAAAACTTTAATATTGTATGAATAAGGCAACTCACAAAATCCCTAACATTAATGACAAGACACAAGCACACACACACACAGATCTACTGGTTACTATAGAAAAGCCTGAATTTCCCTTAGGAAACAATTATTATGGAGTGAAATATGCTTTTTGGTAGACTAAAAAAAAATTCTGAAAGTCCAGCACATTCAGAAACTATTTGCCCTGTATTGTCATCACTGCAAGTTCAATAAAACAGCCTACACTGTGTTCATCACAACTACTGCCACATTACTATATTTCACTCCTACAAGTAAACTTGGAAGAATAGTATCCAAATGATTCCCACCTCCATCCCTACTTTTGTGTCATTTGATAAACCTGGAAACACTTGCCACAATCTTATAATGAAACTAAAGTGTGTTCACATGCAGAGAGAGTATACAATATTACGTACTCTGCACACTTTCAAATTTGTTTTGGTATCATGAGAGAACTAAAAAAGTGTAAGTAATAGGATGCTTTCAACATGTGCTAATAATAGCCTGTTCTCTGGAAGTGGGGAAAAATAGGAAGGTAAGTTTATGCGGAAACCTTAAATCTTTTATTTTTGATCCAGCTATCAAATAAACACTAAAACAGTCAGCTTTGAACAAAATCAGTTCAAATTCTAAAATATAACCGTATTAGTGCAGCCTGTATGGCCTACTACCTCAGTCCACACATTTGTGCAAACTACAAGTTACTTATCGACTTGCTTGTGTGGCTAGATTTGTCTCCAAGCTTCTTTGCAAACATGATGCAAATTCTACACTTTGAAAAGTAATCAATGTCACATGCATAGCTGTCACAGAACATACATGAAAAAGAAGATAAAATTAAGTTTAATGCCAAAGTACCCCAAGCAGATGACACTGTCCAACTCTAATCCTTAAAAGTTGCAATCTTCACTACCTTCTCAATAAAAACTAGTTTGTGTAAGCTACAGCACAGTACATAAATGTAGGGTACATTAGTAGCTTTCTTGGTAGTCAGCAAGATTGTTCATTAATCTCTGAGAATAAATTTATATGTAGCAGTGTACATTTGTAAAATTTTTTTCAGTCTGCTTTTATTTTTTAAGGGTTGACTATGACAAAATGTGCTAAAATGTTTTATCTTTTCTATTATTACTATTATCAATATTCACTGTTGGCGACAGTTATTAGTATCGGTATTTGCAACGTTCTGCCCAAGGCAATCCAACGTTATACTCAAGTGTAAAATTCAATGAAAGGCATTTCATCTACGAAAAAAGCATTTTTGAAATGTTTGATGCACTAGTTAAACATCGTACTTTTACAAAAAAAACCCCAAATCTCAAAACAATCTTTTTTGGAACACTATGCATTTAAAGTAATAAATATGTGTCAAGAAAGAGTCTTAACATTCAGTCACCCTCCAGTCAGTTCACTAGTAATAGCAACACGCTTGAAGTTATCAGCTCAAGATCATAATTGCTTTAAGCTGCTATTAAAAGGGAGATGTTTTGCAAATTAAGAATACGAGATTGATTTATACAAAGCAAGTGATCAACCAAATAATATTAAAATTGGTAACATCATCTTATCATAAGAGAACTAAATATTTATTCTTCCCACTATTCAGCAAACAAAACATTTAGTAAATACTTTTACCTCTTCTCCGCCCATAGCTCCTGGCTGCATGTAAACACAGAAGAAAATTGTCGGTACAGCTGTCATTAGATTTAGCTCCAAAAGCAAAGAAAATGTGGCTTCTACCTCTTCTCTTTTCCCCTCCCACCAGAAGGAAAAGACATTCAAAAAGTGCAAGATGAAATTCAAACAACCCAAGACAAGATAAAAAGTTTGAAAATAACACAGCCGGGGCAGGGGGAAGGAATATATCTGTTGTGCAAGTTTTCTACACAGCAAAGGTATTTAAAAAAAAAATAAAAAATCAGGCGTATCAGACTTACAGTACTCCAAAATAATAATTTAGGATTATGGTTTTAAGAGGCAATAAACATCATCAACAGTAGTCCTAATTAAAATAATTCATTTTGCATTCCATTAATTAGTTGTGGAGAACATATTTTCCAATTATGTTTCAATTTAAATAATTAACCATCTGTAAATACAAAAGACCTACCAAAACCATATGCACTCAATAGCCAGTATTTTCAGATGAATAAAAAGAGATTGACAAAATGTCTTTATAACTACCAGAATTAATACAGCCTTTCAATCAGACATGCATCAATGGCAAAATCCACAACGTTGTACAAGTGCAACATATTTTGTGATATAACAGGAAGTGCAAAAAGTAGCATTTTTTGATCCAAAATTTTAGAATACCAGAAAATAATCTGGAAAACGGTGTCTTCTACACAGAGACTTCAAGCTGTCACAAAAGATACCTGTGGTCTTCCAAGGTAATCAAATGTGGAAGGCTAGGGATCAGGTAGACTTTTTCAACAGAACGTGAGCTTAGACAATAGGTAATACAGCCTTGTTTTGCTTCTTTCTCTCTTCACTGCAATACTATTTGTGTTCCTCCTCCTTCCCAACCCCATCTCTTATTTCCAAAACCAACACAATGCGTCTCAGTCCTGTCCTACATGTCCAGGTTTTAAGTGTGATTCCTCTAGCTCTCCCTACTATCCCACTTAGCCCGCTTCATCTAGTTCCCACTCCATCCTTCTGTATCCCAAGTGTCCTCTACCATAAAACCTTCTATTCTTCCCATTTTTCTGTTTCCATCTTCAAATGCGTCTCCTGAGGTGTCCCGCCATACCCCTCAGCTTTCTCTACCTACTTCTCTTTGGCCAGCAATTACATGACACTTCAGTTGTGGCTAGTTGAGAACTACTCATCTACTGACTAGTCCCCTGGCTGTCACCTCTGAGTGGTTTATGAGATGGGCTGCATGACACACAAAAGCACATATCCACACAAGATAACCCTCAAGGATTTAGAAGGAGTGACCTAACAACCCTTGCTTATGGAAAGGCAGAGGACCAGAACATCCCCAGTAAGACAATGTTGGCAAGAGAAAAAAAAGTTATGTAGACGAGGGAAGTTACTCTGCTGTTTAAAGTTACTCTTGCTCAGTTAACATACATCCTGGAAACTAAGAACACAATCAAGCAACATAACATTGCTTATTGTATACCAACAAGTAAACCACCTTCATTTTTCAGCTCATTATTTAGGCTGGGACTAAGTTTGGTTTTGCCCTGTTGTTTGTGTCGGAAGGTTCCAACACAAAAATGGATATAGCGTAATTTGTGTGTTAAAAGCAAACCATGTAAATAAATACCAGAACTGTATAAACAATTTCTGAGAATTATTATTAGTAAGGCAGGTGTTCTGCAATTTATTTGAAAGACATGAAACCAAGTGACCATCTACAGAAAAGAAAGGACTTTGACTAAAATATATTCTTATTGTCCTGGTTTCAGGCCAGGGTCAAACCACAACACCTATAAACCTAGTCTTCGTGTATGGTGAAATGTAGACATGAACCACATAATTCAGCTAGAACATCTGTGAGAGCTCATATGCAATGCCCTGCTGGGTAAGACCAATGAACCATCCAGACAAGTATTCAGTCTTCAATAGTGACACTAGAAAGAGCACGTTAGACTGGCCACTAACAATGATGTTTCTCTTCTATTACCTTAGCATTCATAGTCATTGGATGAAACATATCACGAGACACACTCTCATCTACTTCTGCTTAAAGGCCTTTTGTTAACAATTTGCTTAATGCTTTTTAGAACATGTTGATACTGTCTGCTTCCACAAATTCTTGTGGCACCAAGTTCCAAAAGTAAACTACAGAAGCACTTCCTTTTGTGGGTTTTAAATGGGCCTACTGGAATTTTCACCAATTGCCCAGCCAGTTCTAGCTCTATAGAACGTGGTGAACAGCAGTTTTGCATTCCCCTGCTTTTTTCTAAGGCTATGTCACATTCAGCTTCAGCCTTCTCCTCCCCAGACTGAAGTATTTCAGTTTCTTCAGTCTCTTGGTAACTAAGTACAGTCACAGTAGACACTGACTATAAGAACGAACAATTATAAGATCCAGAGAGAACTGTATTGTGGTAGTTAGCTATTTCAATAATACAAAATAAGGAAAAAGCATAGCTAACTGTGAAAAAAACAAAACAAAACAAAACAAAAACGCTTCCAAAGAGGATAGTAAAAACAGAAATAGATCAGTGAAACTGATGTTCATTATCAGATTCATTAGCTCTACCCAAAGCTGTAACAACAAAAAATTTAAAAACCCAGTTATGTGCTGTCACTGGTTTAACTTACTCCTGTGAAATAGGATTATTCCATAAGAAGGCCACAAGAACACTTTTCCACATGCTTTAGGGCTTGTACTGGTTTATTAGTCTGGTCTCAAATCACACCTGTAACTGGGCTGGCTATACTCATATAAGGCTTGTAGTATACACTGTTCACAATACCCTTCAGACAACAGAAAATAAAAACTGGTTACATTTGGGAAAAATAGGTATCAGCAATGACTACACAAAAGCTCAGCCTAGAAACTTGTATCATCTGACATGATTCACTAAAATGCTGACACAATATATCAGTACAAGAAGGCGTAATAATAACTTATAGTTCAATATCCCTGTGAACCAAGCCTTTGAAGTTAAGAAACACTTGCGAAAACAAAAACCGCCCTACTTCATCTCCTGGAGACAACGGATGTTAGTCATGTGAAACAATGAGTATCCACCCTAACAGCTTAATGTCTAGTTAAGGGTTCAATTTTTATGGATCAGAACCTGTGGGGAAAAGATCCCCTGGGAAGACAGCTAGCTACACAAGGGAGAAAGTCAGCAGAGGAATTAACAAGCTTGACTGAAACACCTTCTTAAAACATTTTCTTTAGTGAAGCCAATCAATCACATGCTGATATTTATTCATGTTACTATTACTACCATCACGAAAATGTTCTGTATAGAAATCTAAGTATTGTTCATCTACATCAAGCAGATCAAAAGCTTTCAGCAGCTTCATTAAGGCTTAATAAATAATTTGCAAGAGAGAAGTTTCTAGAGAATATTTGTAAATGCATCAAACCTTATTAAAAATCTGATAAGTTTATGGAGAAGCTGATGTACTTCCAGTATGTTCATACAGGAGATAATATTGCCAAATTAATTTGTCTTTTAAATTAGATTGTCTTTTAAATTAGATTCTAACAGCAACATAAAACTGACAAGCTGTGAAAGATCCTCTTCACAGATTTCAGCAGAGGAATGGACATGATTAATTTGTGCTAGAGCCTGAAGACTGCATGATGCTCCTTACTGAAGAACTCCGCAAAATTAAGAAACTGAAAACACATTTATTATAATGTTATTAAGGTATGTTGGACCATGAAAATAATATTTACTGGTTAGGCACACCCCTTAAAAAATTTTATTCTAGATGAAATAACAAGTCTAAGCCATAAGATCTGATAAGATAAAATAAGACAGTGACTTACAAATTAATGTCATCTGATCTCAGTGAGATTTCTTTTCTGATTTATTTTTCATTGCTTTATTGTAATATGGGATCAAACAGTTAGCATTTCAGGTAAATAATTTATGAATCCATACAACATTAACTCAAAAGAACTAGATCTACACTTTTTCCATATCATAGCGACAAGTCAGTCTGATCAGGTAATTTAAAATACAAAAATAAGTGATGCTATTTTTTTTGTATTATCACATTTTTATGGAAGAGTTAATAGAAAGAACTTTGAGATTTTTAAATAAACCTCTTTCTTCACTGTTGGTACATATCTTGTTCATGCAATAATGTGTCCACAATATCAAAGATACACATTTCAAAGAGATCTTAAAGACATTTCTTTAACTGACTTAAAATAGCATCATCTCCATGGAAAAAAAAAAAAAAATCAGCATTTCCAGATTTGAAATTTTGGAGCTAGAAGGGCTAAAGGAAAGTCTATTTAATAAGATGGGAGCCTCCTTGATTTATAAGGTACCAGAATCTTATTTCTAACTTGTAAAACTAATTTGCGATCTTAAGCAGTCTGAAGTTCAGAACAATACTTGCTTTAGGACACTATGAGTTGTTCAGTCATTTTCTAAGATCAGAAAGGAAAACATGTCAAGCTTTTACTTTTGAATAGCAAGTCTCTGAGGTTCTTGCAGACCTGGAAGTTTACAAGTGAATTACAATGCCAGTGAAAATGAATTAATGAACTGAGAGAAGGTGACAGAATCAAGTGTAATTATGCAATGCATCTTTGCTATAACAATATCTCTGTAGCACACACCTTGAACTCCCTGAAGAACTCATTTCGCTAAAATAACAAAAAACAAATGAACAGAATAATCTAGGAACTCTATGTCATTAAAATACACAGCCTGAGATCAAGTATTTGTGTGCATATAACAAGAAACACAGATGCAAGACGTGCACGCAACATAGTCAGAATTTCTATCAACTGATTTGAAGATATCCTTTGGGTCATAATAAAATTCTGAGATGAGACATCTGAATATTGTATCTTCGTAAAGTACTAGACTTCTTTTAAACTTTGAGACTCATATTCAAAGTTCCTTTGGGAAACATTCCTGACTTTGTTCATTTCAGTCAATCCATTTACTATAATGTATGTAAATAAAGTTTATTTACATCTTTATAATTTTAAAAGC